GCTCGTAGGGCAGTAAGGCAGGAGTGGTTCATGTTCAGGGGTAGCACCTGGGTATTTGCCTCATTGTTTTTGTAATAGGACACTTGGCCATAGTTATGAAGTAGGTTTAGGAGGTACTTTAGTGAGTCTGTCGGGTTAGTCAGGAATAGGAGGATGTCGTCAGTAAAGGTGGCTATTTTTTGGGGACCCAGCGGCGAGGGGACGCCGGTGATGCACTGTTCCCATTTAATTGTGTGTATTAGCGGTTCTAGTGCCAAGATAGAAATGAGGGGCGATAGTGGGCATCCCTGTCGTGTGCCATTCGTCAGAGCAAAGCGTTGGGAGGTGAAACTGGAGCTCATGACCGTGGCTGCAGGGGAGGAATATTATGATAACAGGCCATTGAGAAATTTGTTGTGGAATTTAAATCTGCAGAGGACTTCCGTCCTGTAGCCTCAGTGTAGCCGGTCGAAGGCCTTTTCCGCGTCAAGGGCCATTAACAGTCCCTGTGTTCTGTGTACCATCAGGAGTTCCATTATGTCCAGTGCCCGCCTGGTGTTGTCCTCTACTTGACGCTCTGGTACAAAACCTGATTGTTCCAGGGAGACAAGCGTACACAGGAGGGAGCGTATTCTGTTGGCTAGGACTTTGGCAAATAGCTTTGTGTCTGCATTAAGCAGGGAGATAGGGCGGTAACTTGCGCAAAATTCCGTGGGTCTGCCTGGCTTGGGAATAGTTATTATTGTGGCCTCTAACATTTCAGGGGGTATGGAGCCTGACTCCGTGATGTTGTTGAATAGGGAGGTCATGTGTGGAAGGAGTTGGTCCACAAAGACTTTGTAGTAGTGGGTGGAGAAACCATCTGGTCCCGGGGCTTTGTGTCAGGGGGTTTCCCTAAGTGCTTTGGAGATTTCCTCTGGGGTGATTTTGCTACTGAGTAGAGAGGTTTGGTTCCTGGAGAGCTGGGGGAGCTCACCTCTGTCTAAGTAGGCGGCTATCTCCAGAGGGGTCGGCTGGTGTTGTAGGGGGTCCTCCGCTAAATTATACAGAGCACCGTAAAATGTGTCAAATTCATCTACTATCAGTTTGGGGTTTGTCAGTTTTGTCCTGTTACCATCTACTAAGCATGGTATGCGCATCTGAGCGTTTTTGTCTTTCAGTTGGGCGGCTAGCAATTTCCCCGCCCTGTTCCCTTGTCTATAGCACTCGCTTTTGAGTTTGCGGAGAGCCCTCTCCACTCGCTGGAGTTGGTGAGTTTCTAAGTCAGCTTTGATCTTATTAACTTCCCGTCTGGTCGCATCAGTGGATGAGGATTTGTGGAGGTCCTCTGCAAGTTTCAGATCCCTGAGCCATGCACTGCTGGTCTCCGCTAGTTTGTGTTTAAGTGTCACTCCTGCCCTAATCAGTACACCCCGTACCAGGCCCGGACTGGCCATCGGGCACACCGGGCAAATGCCCGGTGGGCCGCGGTGTCCGTGGGGCCGAGGCCGGCAGGGGAGGTCCCAGGATCTCCTCTGCCGGTCTATGCAGGGCCGGCACTCTCCTAGCGCCGGCCCCGCTGTTTGCCACGACGGGCCGGTGGGGAGATCAAGGATCTCCCTGACCGGCCCACATGCGGCCGCCGGCGGGGAGGGAGGGAGCCAGCCAGCCAGGCTGGAGAGAGGACCCGGCGGAGCTCTAACTTGCAGCTCCGCCGGGTTCCTCTCGCGAGATCCGGCGCGTTGCCATGGCAACGACCGGATCTCGCGAGAGTGAACTCTAGCCTCACAGGCTATGCGGGCTAGAGTTCACTCACCCACGAGGACCACCAGGGAACACTGCCTCCCAGCGTGCCGGACCCCCCCCTCCCAGGCTGAAGGTAAGAAGGGAGGGGGGGGAAATAATGACTTTTTATTTTTTTATTTTTTTATTTACCCCCCTACTCTCACACCCATAACACACAGCACTCTCTCACACAGCACTCTCACACCCATCACACACAGCACTTTCACACACACAGCACTCTCTCACAGCACTCTCACACCCATCACACTCACAGCACTCTCACACCCATCACACTCACAGCACTCTCACACACACACAGCACTCTCTCACACAGCACTCTCTCACACCCATCTCACACAGCACTCTCACACCCATCACACTCACAGCACTCTCACACACACACAGCACTCTCTCACACAGCACTCTCTCACACCCATCTCACACAGCACTCTCACACCCATCTCACACACACGGCACTCTCACACACACACCGCACCCCTCACACACGCACATACTGCACCCCTCACATACACACAGAACCCCCCCCAACACACTGCACCACACACATACACAATACTTCCATATATATATATATACACACACACACACACACACACACACACTACACTCTTAAAGGACCACTCTAGCCACCCAGACCACTTCAGCTTAATGAAGTGGTCTTGGTGCCAGGTCCTTCTAGGGTTAACCCATTGTTTTATAAACATAGTTTCAGAGAAACTGCTATGTTTATCAATGGGTTAAGCCTTCCCCCAAAGCCGCTAGCAGCTGTCTCATTGACAGCCGCTAGAGGCGCTTGCGTGCTTTTCACTGTGAAAATCACAGTGAGAGCACACAAGCGTCCATAGGAAAGCATTACAAATGCTTTCCTATGCGACCGGCTGAATGCGCGCGCAGCCAGCCGACGGGGCGGTTCGGAGGAGGAGAGCTCCCCGCCCGGCGCTGGAAAAAGGTAAGTTTTAACCCCTTTCCAGAGCCGGACGGGAGGGGGTCCCTGAGCCACATATGCATCACATTACACCACAAACACAACACGACTAAAACCGACCTTATTACACAATACCACACCACGACCAGCTCACTCTACACACACGCAATACCACAAGCAGGCTTCAAACACATGCACAATACTCTTTCCTGGCCTTTTGTCTCCTGGTATCCATTTATAAAGACACCAGAGACAAGTTGCAAGGAAACACAGTGCAAGCATGTTATAAAATTTGCTTGCACTGTGCAGAACAAATACAGGACTTTTTTCTCATGCTAGAGCTCTTCAGCAGAGCTCTGCGCATGGTCTGCCCTGGAAGAGCATTGAACCAACATGCCTACTTTGAGAGGAGGCGTGTTTGTCATTGGTGATGACAAAACACACCTCCTCTGCCCCGTCCCCTTTTTAGTGGGCCGCTGTGTTAAAAAAATGCCCGGGCTGAATTTTTCTCCCAGTCCGGCCCTGCCCCGTACCACGTCACCACGTGAATGCGCGCGCAGCCAGCCGACGGGGCGGTTCAGAGGAGGAGAGCCATGTCACGGCTATGGTTGTGTCTTGGGGCTGGTTGTCTGTGAAGTAATTCACTATGGTTTTCCTTATCTCAGCAACCTGTGCAGTGCCGTCTATAAGCGATTCATTGGGGCACCACGTGCCTCGTCTCCTCACCAGGTGTAGAGTGGTAAATGAGGACAGTAAGGGGGCGTGGTCTGACCAGGTGATAGGGTCGATGGTGACTCTGGCCAGAGTGTCCAGGGACTTCCCATCCACAAGGCACATGTCTATGCGGGAATATTGGTCATGGACGTTCGAATAAAAAGTATAGTTCCTGGTGGCCGGGAATAGGGAGTGAAATGTGTCGTGAAGGCCATGAGAGTGTAAGAGGGCAGAGAGCTTGTCACCAATAGAGACGGAGCGGGGGTGGGAACCTGGGGTGCCTGATCTGTCCAGGTCTGGGTCAAGTACGCAGTTGAAGTCCCCGCAAACATAAGTTTGGCCCGGCTTTAACCTGTCTAGCATTTTCAGGGATTTCCTAATAAAGTCATATTGGTTGGTGTTGGGGGCATATAGATTTGCTAGAGTTACGGGTTCATCATTTAGCCTGCCCACCAGAATCAGTAGCCTGCCATCAGCACTTTTATGCTCTGTTGTGCAATTAAAGGTCCAATCCGAGTGGAATAAAAAAACTCCCCTGCTTTTGTTAGGTGCTAGGGCATGGTAGGAGGCGGGGTACCTGGTCGAGAGGAATTTCGGGGGGTTAGTGGCCGAGAAGTGGGTCTCCTGTATGCAGGCCACTGAGGCGTGCAGTCTGCGGAGCTGGGAGAAGGCGAGCCTGCGTTTTTGTGGGGTGTTCAGGCCATGGGCATTTAGGGACAGGACATTAAATTGATGCAGGGAAGTCATCAGCTAAGGCCGGGGGACCCTCGGTGTCACCGAGGTGACAATTCCCAACCTGACTCCCTTTCCTAGGTAGTGGTTGCAGGGGAGGGGGGGTTGTGTCCCTAATTTCCCAGTGCGTCCATAGCCCAGGGTGATCAGCATCTCTAGTGGGGTACATAACCAAGGGTAGGGCATAACATGGGGAAAAAACAATGAACATAACAAGAGTATATACAGTTCAATAAGCCTGACAGCATTTTGGGGAGACTGGTCCACGGGTGCCATTTCCCCACTGCGCTGGCGGGGAGCTCGTCTCGGTGGGGTGTGGCCTTGGTGAAAGGGTCTAAGACCGGTGGTGGACTGTATGGACAAAAGAAGGTAAAGGTTCTTAGGTCAGGCCCAGCATCGGCACCAGGCGGTGCCTCCCACTGTTGTTTGGTGGGGATATAACTGGTAATTGTGGCTAGGTGGGCCGCGCCACCAGGCATGCCAGCAGGGCGCCCAGGGTCACACCGGGGTTTGTTTGGTCAGGACGGCTGGGAATTAAGGCCAGCCTTGTTGCCGGTGGAGGCTGCATGTAGCAAAGGTTGTAAAGTGCAGCATGTGGGGAATCAGCATCTCAGCTATGGGGCTGTGGGTCACCTCTTATCATACGTACTCACGTTCATTATACAAAACTTTGTTTAAGCTTTTCCCCGAAAAAAGGGGGGGTAAGTCCATCTAGAGTCTTCATCATGTCTTCATCGTACAGGGCACCAGGCGACCTGGTAGCTCAAACCGGACAGTCCGTTGCTGTGGGGAGGGTCACAGCAATACAGTCATTTCTTCCTTTGGACTTTGGTCCACTCCTGGTCCGGGAAAAGTCCCCAGGCTTTCAGCTTGTTCATACCTTGGTCCGGGTCATCCAGTTTTGTTAGGGATCCATTTCGCCAGATCAGCAATTTCGTGGGGAAGCCCCAGCAGTAAGGAATCTTGCGGTTTCGGAGGCATTTAGTGACATTTATAAAGTCTCTTCTTCTCGCCATTGTCATAGGGGACAGATCAGCAAGCAGGGAGATCCAGTCACAACCGGATGGCATTGCTGTAGATTTGCGTTGCGCCATGAGTATAGCATCTTTGGTGCTGAAATAGTGGAGTCTTGTGACAATGTCTCTTGATATGTTGTGTGCTAGGGAAGCAGGTTTGGGTACTCTGTGCGCCCTGTCTAAGCGCAAGTCTGTCAGTTCCAGAGTTGGCTGGATAGCTTTGAAGAGTTGTTGGAGGTACTCTGGATGTCTGTCCCCGCGCACCCAGATGTTGTTTTGGCGCGATCGGTCCTCCAGGTCCACTAGTTTGTTAGGTGCGCTTACTCTGCTTCCATTGCGCAGATTTTCTCTAAAATGCCGTCATTAGCCTGGCATAGGTCATCCATTTTTTCCTCAAGGACGTTGAGGCGGCTCCCCACCTCGTGCACCTCTCTGCGGATGTCGTTCACCGCCAGTTGTAAGTCCTCCTTCATGGAGGAGCGGAGCTCCTGCAACATTGCCGCCATTTTTGTCTCTGATATGGAGATATCCCCAGTGGGAGGCTGAAGGGCCTCTGTGTCTGATCTCTGATCTGAGGCAGGCTTTGGAGAGTGTGAGCCGCCACCATCTTGTTCTTGCTGTGTTTTGTCTCGCTGACCTTGGCGGAAAAAGTCTGATGCACGTTGTGCTTTTGGGGGTGCCATCTGGCAGGGTAAGATCCCCTCAAGCTCGGGTCACCGTTTAGGTCAAGTCCGATAGCCGGTGTAATTTGTCGCTTTAGTCCGGTCTGGTCTCGGAGCTCTCACTCCATGCGACTACTCCATGAGACCGGAAGTCCCGCCCCCCCCAGCAGAAACAGTTTTTTGAGTCCATATACCCAAGTTGTATGCCCGTTCCCGGACGATATTTGGCGGCGTCCAGCATCGCCCATGGTAAGGTTTTAAATCCTGAAAGACCTCCTCCGTTAATCACTATAGTTATCTGAGCCATTCTGACAGGCATGGAAGAGCATGGGTTTGTCCGACCATCAGCGGATATGGACATTCTAAGCAAGGGGCTGCAAAGCCACGAGTGCATAATGTTGTCAAGTAGGTTTATCGCAGTAAGGGATACCCCTGTGTAAGGCACAAACCAGTATTCAGGCACAGGATGCAGGGCAAACAGATCAGTCTACTATGACAGTAGGCAGTGTTCACGGAAACCCTTGCGGGTCTTATTCCAAATTGTGGCCAAATAAAACAGACTAGGGCTCACCCAGTACATAGAGGTTGCTATAGCATTGCCTCCGCTCAGCAGCACCGTATAGTGGGGGCTCACCGCGGGTATGAACCCTTAAGTGCTGGCCATCACCCTGATAGAGAGTGTCAGTCACCTCTTCCATTATTAAGTTCACCTCAAGGGGAATATATATCGTTAAGTAGGTGGCTTGGAACTCCTGTTCAGCGGTTGTAACCGCATGCCTCTGTTCAGCATTTTAGTGCAGTGCACGCCTAGCCAGGCGCGGTGCATAGGGCGTGGGCCTTTAACTGCAGGATGCAGAATAGGAACAGGGCATAAACCCATACCATATCATGATTCATTATCAATTGAGGTATTCCTTCAGCTGTTGCCGTAAGACTTCCTTCGGTCGGGTAGTGTGACTCGCCTATCGTAGGGGTCTTACCCCGAGAGCACCGGGTTTGAACCTGTAAGTGCCAGTCCTAGATCTGAAGTTCGGGTTTTCAATCCTCGAGCTCGCTGTTGAGAGGGGTAGGAGTAGAAGCAGCAGGGTATGAACCCATCAGTGCTGGCCATCAGCCTGAGAGAGAGTGTCCTACAGCTCTTCTAATAATTAATGTACCGCCATGGGGGATATTCTTTGCTGAAGCTTGCGACTCTGTCCCCTTTTTAGCCGAATAGATTGGCTTATACCTAGTCAAAGATCACCTCAGGTGCACGGGGTATGTACCCATCAAGCGTGGTTCGCAGCCAAATAAAACAGACCGGATGAGTGCACAATCCATTTCATTGTGTGCAATGCACCATGCATACCCCAGCAGGGTGTAGTAGTGTGCAATTTATTGTGGGCAATTTATTGTCTCAAAGTATCAAAACAACCCCAGCATGGTGTGTGATATGCAGTAGTGTGCACTTATTGTGTGCAATTTATTGTCTCAAAGTACCAAAACAACCCCAGCAGGGTGTGTGATATGGGGTACCCCAGCAGGGTATCTGTTGTAGTGTAAATAATGCCTGTGGACCCCAGCAAGGTCTGTATAAATGACAGTAAGGTGTAAGAACCCCGGCAGGGTATTCTGTATCTGTCACTTAGTGTTGTCAAATTGTCCCAGCAGGGCAAACCACAATATTGGGATTTGTATAACTGGGACTCACCCAGGATCACAGAGATGGCCACAGGGCGACCTCCAAAAAGCAGCACGGTAATAGGGGCAGCACCCTAGGCAGGCACAGTATAATAAGCCCTTTCGTGCCTAATATGGCAGTAATGAGACAAAAGTGACTGACCTCTGAGGGATAATAGGATATAGCACTAGTTTTAAGCTCCGTCGTGTTCTGACAGGTAGTCTTAAGTGATAGGGGTCATCCCTTTGAGCATCCATTACCAGACATAGAGTCTTGCTGTAGATTCCTGAACCCTGATCCAGGTGATATCCCTTCAAAACTCCCACTGATACTTATACAGTACCATCTTGATAGTCTGTGTCCAAGGGTGCTATCCCTTTAAGGAATTCGAGGGTGATATCCCTTGAGCCACGAGAGCATCATGAGCCACGAGAGCAGCTAGGCTAGATAACAGCCCAGGTATATGTTACTCTCGAGCGCCGAAATCGTGGTGGGCGAGAGTAGCAAAACGGCCGCCCATAATCTCGCGAGACACGCGATTAAAGATGGCTGCCGAGGGTAAAGGAGTCTCGGTATACGCGGGATCATAGATGGCCGCCGCGTCATGCTGGGCTACCTCGTGGTCACCCCACAGACTGCCCTGCACCAAGGTAGTGGATGTTGGAAAGCATCCAGCACATTACCGGGTGTACGGTATGGGGCAGCCTGAGAGAGCGAGGGCAGTGAGTCCGGCCGTCCCCCTCAGGGTTGTAAGAGGAAGGGGTCGAACGGATAGGCCAGAAGAAGGGGTTAATACCGTGGGAGGGAAGGGTCCCAGCCAGACCCAGAATCCCCAAGAGACCCTGGGTAGAAGGAAGAAACCGAGGAAAGAGGGTCCCCAGATGCCCCAGGTATAGAAGGCCAGGAAAATCGCCAGAAAAGTCATGATACATATGGTATAAAGTACATCTACCATAACTATACATAAAACCATATTAAGTCAATAATAAAATTTACACCTAATACCTATTAAATCCATGTTATTAAAAACATATGACATCTATTAAATACATATAAAGTACATATAATACTTATCAAAACAAAGGATGAAATGCCTATAAAACTGATAAATTACAAATGATATTAATCTCAAAAGTTTATGAAATAAAGATAACGTTAAATCTACATAAAAACTATGAAATAACAGAAAAAACACAGCTGCACATAGTACAGAAGCACAGCAAGAACATACAGCAAAGTATATCAAAAGTAATACAGAAACAACCTCAAAGAGGCAATATAAACATAAAGTAATGGAGAAGAGTAATACTCTGACCTGTCTGCTTGATGGAGCAGTAAAGAAAGAGGAAATGATGAGGTCATATTGCCTTATGTATATCCTGCTCTCCTGTGATTGGTTCTTTTTTCTACGTGTTTCTTTACTGCTGTATGGAGTTAGTAAAGAGAGATATGCAAAATACGAAGCCTCCTGTCATGCAGGGCCGGATTAACATAGGGGCTGATGCAGCTGCAGCTCCAGGCCCAGGCCCAGGCCCATGGAATAGGTTTGCCACCTGACTGGTATTTTACTGGCACAGCTGGTATTTGAGGCTGCCTGGCCGTGCCAGTATTGCAGTAATACTGGCAATACAAATGCAGGTATTTTTCTCAGAATAAACAGAAATTACTCTGCAATACCAGCACCGGCCAGTAGGGGTCACTGTGTGTAGAGAAAGGCAGGGATAGGAAGTTACAGCATATCCCTGCCTCTCTCTACTACTCACTGATCCGTGGGGGAGCAGCAACACAGCACAGAGAGTCCAGACAGCAGCTCTACAGCTCAGGTAAGTGAGGGATGGTGGAAAGGTAGCAGGGAGACATGGGGAAACTGAGACACTAGGGGACACATGGGGACACTCAGACAATTGGGGACACATGGGGACACAGACACTAGGGGACACTGAGACACTTGGGGACATTAGAAAACATGGGGACACTGATACACTAGGGTACACTGGGAGACATGGGGACGCTATGAGACATAGGGACATTGGGAGACACTGAGACAATGGGACACAGATACACCCCATGTCTCCCAGTGTCCCCATGTCTCCCAGCCAGTGTCTGTGTCCCATGTCTCTTAGTGTGCCTAGTGTCCCCATGTCTCCCAGTGTCCCCAAATGTCCCAGTGTCCCCATGTCTATGTCCACAACTGTCCCCATGTCTCCCAGTGTCTGAGTGTCCCCATGTCTCCCAGTGCCTGTGTTCCCATGTCTCTCAGTGTCCCTAGTGTCCTAGTGTCCCCAAATGTTTCAGTGTCCCCATGTCTCCCAGTATCTGTATCCTTTGTCTCTGTGTCCCTAGTGTCTCAGTGTCCCCATTTCTCCCAGTTTCCCTAAATGTCTCAGTGTCCCCATGTCTCTCAGTGTCTTCATGTTTCTCAGTGTCCATATGTCTGCATCCACAAGTGTCCCCATGTTTCCCAGTGTTGCCAAGTTTTTCAGTGTCCTCGGGTCTCTCAGTGTCCCCATGTCTCACTGTGTCCCCAGTATCCTAGTGACATGGGGACACTAAGACACTGGGAGACTGGGTGACATGGAGACACTGATCCTGTGATACATAGGGACACTGAGACACTGTGTAACTTGCGAGACTGAGACGCTGGGAGACAGGGAGACACTGGGAGCAATCCATCTATATAGCAGAATCAACTGTGAGTAGTTTGATGGTAATTTTACAGAATTTTCTTTATGTCACTCCTTGTGATTTACATAATGTGATGTCACGCATAACTAATTAATTATACAAATGATTAAGGCTAGTATTTTTACTGCACACTAGGCAGTACTGCCCCTGGAAGCACCTCTAGCAACCATCTAAGGAGTGGCCATTGAAGTTATTTTCTCTGAAAAGACAGCGTTTACTGCAAAAAGCCTGAATGGAATGATTCTACTTACCAGAACAAATACAATAAGCTGTAGTTGTTCTGGTGACTACAGTGTCCCTTTAAGTTTGGAAGCTTAAGAGGGATGTATGGGAACAAAACTTGTGTGGACTGGCTGACAATAAAATCAGTTTAGGTAATGCAGACATTGGTCTCTCTAACACTGTGGCATGTCCCCTTCATTCTACACTCACTACATACACCTTTACTCTGTCTCAGATTATATACCAGGAACTTCTGCTTGCTAGTAAGAAGGTAAGGAGATAAGTGGACCAGCGAGTGCTAGGGCGCAGTCCTTAGAAAGCATGGAGCGAGCGCATCATTAGACACATTTATGCCAAGCTCAGGGTGCTGCCTGCATAGTATGCCCTTAGTTGGACAGCCTGCATGATTGGCAGGAAGCCTGACATGCATTCATTCCAGGCTGTCCTTCAAATT